GGATGCCGGTGTCTCATCGAGAAAACCTTGACTGCTGTAGGCCTCCATGCAATCAAGGGAGCACATGTGAACAGCCTAGAAATGAAATCTGGAGGCAAGAATAGTTCTAAGTTCTCCAACGGCTGCTCTTCTATTTTTTTTACTTGATTTGCTTGTTCTCTCTCTGCAAATTGAATGTGCTAGATGATTGATCTGATGCAGTTATTAGAGCAAGCCTGTTATAGTTTGGCACTGTTGATTGTCTCCATTATCCGCTGAATTAATAGAAGTACACAATTGACAATGTTTTAATGAGAATTTGGAACTATGTGGATATTAAATTTGTTCCATTTTTACGCACTTCTTTTGCGTGATATAGTTATCTCTTTCCTAGACTGATATGTAAACATTAGAATTTGGAATGATATGTGCCATTCTGCAGGTTATCAGACATGTTCACCAAAATCTTTCATTGTCTTTTCTTATTGTTGTTGCATGTCTCTATCTGATTATGGTTGCCAGATTCTGTGTAATCTTTCTCTCTACTTTTACTTCGTGATTCTCTAGATATATATTAGAATGGTAGCTGAGAACATGTCTGATCTTGAGAAGCAAGACAAGTCAGAAGATGATAGCCCAGTGTTTTTCCCTTTGTTTTCCTACATATCATGCAATTAATGAGTTATTTGGTTGGTCTTCATTTTACTGGCAAGATAGTTAAGACCAGAATACTGTTGTAAATAGAGCAGATTATTTTAATGAATTATTTTGCTGTAGATATCTGCAGTGGTATCCTTTGCTATGTTCGTATAGGCAGAACCAAAGAAACAAACTTAACAGCCTCTAATTAGTGTAACATTAATACCGACGTCTATCAAATTTGAATATAAGAAATGGCGCGTAAGGATACATGGAGCAGATTTTTGCAAGATTCTACGCCCGTTGCAACGCACGGGCATTTGTACTAGTAAAGAAAAGCCAACGAGAGTTAGCCTTTGGGTTGGTCTTATTTTTTTAAATAATTGCTACAATGCTCAGAAAAGAAGATACTACTGTTTGAGATAGTTTTGATTATATGGCTCACTCTCGGTTCACCTTCGTAGCGAATGCCTTTTGAGAACTATATATAGCAGTAAACGGTTGATTCGAAACGCAGCATAGCAGTAAACTTGAAGATCCGCTCTCAGCCGTTGGATCTTCGTGCTCGGACTCCGGTACCTGACGGTGTGCTGTTGAGCCTCCGGCGACAGCCCCGCCGTCCGCCGCGCCCGCTTGCCTCCTCCCCGGCCAGCAGTTCCCATCCCACCCTCACTTTTCCTCGCCGCCTCCACGCGAGGTCTCCACCGTCCCTAGTTCCCACGACGGCTCGTCGCGCCGGTCGACGACGCCACCACTGGCCGTCGCCTACCAGCCGCCAGCCTCGCCTAGTGTTTCTCCACTCGGATGCGCGTCGCGGCTCGTCGGATTCGCCCTCGCCCGCGGCCTCCTCCGCTCAGGGCCTCCGAGATTCAAACCCCAGCAGGCTAGCCCTCGCTTAGGAAGACGAGTTGGTGAGCACCAGTTGCCGGTAAGTCTTGCAGTAGATTCCTATTTTTCCACACTAAAATTAAATGGGATGAAATATGGTTATCTACTCGAAATTTCCAATGTTCCATGCTGCGTCGCACCATTCAGATTCAGTTATGAAAGCATGTTGGTGTGACACGCAATTGCAATTCTGAACCAGTTTGTTCTCTGAAGAAATGTCTAATCACTTTGAGTGGTTCAGGTTTGTTTATGTGTTCTGACCACTCCAGCATCAGTCAATGGCTTGGTTTGCCTTGGTGCCGCCTCTTGGTTTGTTCATCCTGTCTCTTTGATGTGTGCTCCGCAGGTTGCAATCACGGTATGAGCCAGGACTAGCCTTAAAGCATCCTTGTGTCGCTGTCAAAATAATTGTCACTTTTGCTCTTGGAATTTATATTCTGCCTACTGCAATTCTAATAGTCACGGTACATTTCTCAGTCCGCACACGTTTTCTCTCACAAGTCTTTGTTTCATACTTCTACCTTTCTTTCCCCTTGCATCACGTTCAGGGTGAGATGACCTGTATCAGGTCAAGTCAACTTAGTCGAGCTTAACTTCAGGCCCATTCCTTCCGGCAGAAAATAAATCTTTAAATGGCCTCTACACACAAAGATCACCCAAGCTCCAGTCTAAAACACTCTAGCTCCTTGGTTCTTCCACATCCTGTAAAGTCTGGAATCATGCCCTCAATGTTTACTCTACTCTATATTTTACTCATCCTTTTCTCCGTCAGGACTACAATACTCGAAGCAGCACAAGCAAACAAGTCCGAGATTGATCGCCAAGCCCTCCTCTGCTTCAAGTCCGGCATCAACTCTTATCCCATTGACATCCTAAATTCATGGAGTGATGACTCACTTAACTTTTGCAGCTGGAAAGGGGTCATTTGCGGCACAAAGTTTCCACCCCGGGTGGTCTCACTTAACTTCAACTATGCTCGTCTCAGTGGGAAGTTATCTGGATGCCTGGGCAACTTGACATTTCTATCCAGGATGAACCTTGCCTATAATAATCTTTCGGGAACTATCCCTGAAGAGTTGGGTATGCTTCCAAACCTCCATACACTGAATCTTGCCGGCAGCTATCTTCAAGGTAACATCCCCATTTTCTTAGGCGCTAGCAATTCTCTTAGCTATGTAAATCTTGCAAACAACACCCTTACCGGTGGTATTCCTCTCCCATTGACCGATTGCTCCTCACTCAGCACACTTATACTGTCACGTAATAACCTCTCAGGAGAGATCCCTTCTACTTTGTTTGATAATTCATCTAAGCTTGCTGTGGTTGATCTCCAGAAGAATTCTTTCACTGGTCTCATCCCACGTTTCCATAAGGTCACAGCACTCAAATTTCTTTGCCTGACAGAGAACTTCCTCTCTGGAAGCATACCTCCTTCAATGGGAAATGTTTCTTCCCTCACTTCTATATTGCTCGGCCAAAATAAGCTATCAGGATTAATTCCAGAAGCTATAGGTCACACTAGAAAACTGCTTGAGCTTGACCTAAGTTTCAACAGTTTATCAGGTAATGTCCCGGTTTCCCTTTATAACATGTCATCACTCAAAAACTTTAGTGTTGGCAGCAATGGCCTTGTTGGACAGTTACCATCTTACATTGGTCACTCACTACCAACCCTCCAGTCCCTAATTATGGGAAGCAACAGGCTGGAGGGCTTGATCCCTACTTCACTAGCCAACATGTCAAATCTTCAAATGCTTGATCTTTCAGACAACTCGCTAAATGGCCCTGTTCCATCTCTTGGTTCTTTGGCAAACTTGAGTCAGTTAGTTTTGGGGAGCAACTTGCTAGAAGCACATGACTGGTCATTTCTTACATCTCTAGCAAATTGCACCCGGCTTACAAAGTTGTCCTTGGAAGGGAATGGTTTGAATGGCAGCTTACCTGCAGCAGTTGTTAATCTTTCCATGAGACTGCAAGATTTGTCGCTTGGGTCAAACAAAATTTCAGGCTCCATACCTGTTGAAATTAGCAATCTTGTTAATCTCACTTCTCTTAGGATGGAAAGTAATTTTCTTTCTGGAAGCATACCTTCTACCATTGGAAAGCTGCAAAACCTATATGTCCTAAATCTATCAAAGAACAAATTATCAGGTCAGATCCCTCCCTCAGTTGGTGACATTACTCAACTGGGCAAGCTTTATCTTGATGATAACAACTTGATTGGAAACATACCTGATAGTTTAGGTCAGTGCAAGGGACTTCTTGAACTAAACTTGTCTACTAACAGCCTTGATGGGTCAATACCAGTCAAACTTTTTGATCGCCCTCCACTTTCCTTGGGTGTGGACTTTTCGTACAACAAGCTCATAGGAGAAATACCATCAGAAGTTGGTAATTTGGCAAATCTTGCTCTTCTGAATGTTTCCAACAATATGTTGTTTGGAACGATTCCTGAAGCTCTTGGAAGCTGTCTTACTTTATTGTTCTTGCGCATGGAGAGAAACATGCTTGAAGGGCAAATTCCTCAAAGTTTCAGGAAGTTGCGGTCCATCCAGCAGATTAATCTAGCTCGAAATATTTTGTCTGGTCCAGTGCCGGAATTCTTTGGCGACCTCACTTTGTTGGACAAGCTGGATCTATCATACAACAACTTTGAAGGGCCAATTCCCTCTGGTGGATGCTTTAGGAACTCGAGTATGGTAGTTTTGGATGGCAATAGGATGTTGTGTGCGAGAGTCTCCATGCTAGGGCTTCCAATTTGTGATGACACCCAAACAAAGAACCATGTGCCCTTGCTAAGAATAATAATGATAATTACACCGTTAATTGCTGGTGTGTTATTGTTATATTTGGTTGTCACTGTTTGGAAAAGAAGGGTGCAGCTTACATTTCCAAGGTGTAATAAGATTCCTGGTGTGTTATGTTTAGTTGCCAACCGGAAGAAAAGAGAAGCAGTTGCCAACCAGAAGATAAGAGAAGTGGTTGCATGTTCTAACCACAAGGAGACTCTGAAGAAGATATCATATGGTGACATTCTGAAAGCTACCAACTGGTTTTCTTCGGTCCATACTATCAGCTCAACCTGTACCGGATCAGTTTATGTCGGTAGGTTCAAGTCTGACAGGAGCCTAGTTGCTATCAAAGTATTCAACCTGAATGAGCCTGGTGGATATGGTAGTTACTTTACCGAGTGTGAGGTGCTACGAAGCACCCGCCACCGGAATATAATGCGGCCTATGACCCTATGCTCGACACTTGATTCAAAAAACCATGAGTTCAAAGCACTGGTCTTCAAGTTCATGGTTAATGGCAGCCTTGACAGATGATTGCACTCTGAGCAGCACAATGTAATCCCAGACAGAGTGCTAAGCTTTGGCCAGAGGATATGCATAGCAGGAGATGTCGCTTCTGCTCTGGATTATGTCCACAACCAACTGACGCCTCCTTTGATCCATTGTGATTTGAAGCCACACAATGTCCTTTTGGACGATGACATGACTGCACGGCTCAGTGACTTTGGCTCAGCAAAGTTTCTATTACCAGGCCAGGTTATTCGTAAAAGCCTGGTTGATGTCGGAGGGACTATTGGATACATAGCACCTGGTGAGTTTACCTTTCCAAATCCCCAATTAAATAGTTTATCTTGTACGTATGTGTATTGTTTCACCTGTACAGCGCATTTTTCCCCTAAATGTATGTATGCATGGTTTATTGAGTATTTGAGTGTATTTGCAGAGTACGGGCTGGGCTGCAAGATCTCTGTAGGAGCTGACGTGTATAGTTTTGGAGTGCTTCTGCTAGAGTTGCTTACCGGAAAACGACCAACCGATGATATGTTTGTCGATGGGCTTACCCTTCCCATTTTCTCTGAATCCATGTTCCCTGACCTAGTGGCGGAGATGCTAGATACTCATATGGCGCATGAGGAGTATCAAGGGTGCGTAGAAGCATGGATGCAGAGATATATTGCCCCGTTGGTTGCTCTGGGGCTGTCATGTACTGTGGAATCTCCGAAGGACAGACCTGGAATGAAAGATGTTTGTGCAAAACTTTCTGCTCTCAGAGACGACTTTCTGGAACGCCATCATGACGATTGACGAATATTTGAGCTCTGTTAGAGCATGCTGATTTGTTATCGTTAAGAATGTAATTTGGCATAATCTACTGAAAGTGCCAAGTGCCCAATGTGATTTGCAGTGAGCAACAGTTGGCTACTGAAAGTGTCAACTATCCTTTGTTGCGGGTTTGCTGACTATTTTCATTTTGATCTTAAGGTGTATGTATGGCTAAATTCCTTAGTAGCATAAACTGTATTGTTTATATCAAGGTATTTTTCTGTCAAATCTTACATCCATCCAGTTTAATAGCATAAATCCTTCTTTTTGGGTTAACTATTGGCTGGGTCTAGTTTTGGTCTCTAAAGTCTGACAAGACGTAGCTGACACTCAACTTTTGAAACCAGTCAGATTTGGCCCCTTATAAATACAGTATAAAACACTAAAAATTAGTGAAAACAATAGAAAATATGGAAAATGGAAAGACGCTTTGGAATGGGAACGTTTTATTCTAGAAGTCATGAAATAAATATAAATAAATGGAGATAAAACATTTGAAGAATGGAAAAGAACAGGAAATGTAAAAAGGAAGTTGAGAAACGTTTAAGACGAATCATGCAACATGTATTTTTCCCATGAATGCTTAGAAGACATTTATGAAGCATCAAGAAACATGCAACATGTATTTTTTCCATGAATGCTTAGAAGACATTTATGAAGCATCAAGAAACATGCAACATATATTTTTTGTAAACTGTACTTAATAATTCTTATTAAGGTGTATGTATCTTGCTGCGGGTTTGCTGAGTTATTCTTATTTTGATCTTGAGGTGTATGTATGGCGAAATTCCTGTACTTAATAATTTGTAAACTGTACGGTATATATCAAGTTGTTACTCTGTCAAATCTTACATCCAGTTTAATAACACAAATCCTTCTTTTTTAGTTAGCTATTGGCTGAATCTAGTTTTGGTCCCTGATGTCTGAAATGAGATGCAGTAGTTGACACTCAACTTACGAAACCAGACAGATTTTTGGCCCCTTACAAAAGAACGCGGTAAAAATAGTGAACAAATTAGGAAGTATGGAAAATGGAAACAAGCTTTGGAAAGGGAACATTTATTCTAGAAATCATGAAATAAACAGAGATAAAATATTGGAAGAACGGAACAGAACAGGGAAAGAAAAAGAAAAGGGAAGTTTAGCAACGTTTACAACGGATCATGAAACATGTTTTCTTTTTCATGAATAATACTTAGAAACATTTATGAAGCATCATGAGACATGACCATTTCTTTTCATGAATGCTCATAGAGATTTATGAAGTTCTAAGCAGAGATGGCCAAACGGGCCGGGCCGGCCCGGCATGGCCCAGACCGTGCTAATCGTGCCTGGCACGGCACAGCCCGCCGTGGCACGTTTAATAGTCGTGCCGGCCCACATGCGCCACTCCTCGGCCCAGGCACAGCCTGGTTATTAAATGGGCCGGCCCGTGGCATGTTTAGCACGCTGGGCCACATGTTTTCCAGTCTATTGGGCTGTATTTTAGGCCTATTGGGCTGTAATTTATATATATTCTGTAAAAGAATAAAAAATAATAAACGGGCCGTGTCGTGCCGGCCCACATGCCCAGCCTCTAGGCCCAGGCATGACCCAAGGCGTGCCGCGTGCCGGGCACGGCCCGTTTAGCCCGTGCTGTGTCTGGCCCATGGCGGGCCGTGCCGGCGTGCTCGTGGGATGGTCTGATTGGCCTGGCCCGTTTGGCCAGCTATAGTTCTAAGCATTAATGATTATCATTTTTTTTCATGCTCCAAATCACCTCTTCACCAGAGAAAGCAACAACCACTAAAAAAACCCTAGACAAAGCAACAACCACTAAAAAAACCTAGAGAAAGCAACATGTTTTCTCTTCTAACTAAGCAGAAATTCATGTGAAGTTCAATGTCAACAGAGTCAATATGATGATTATTAGTTTGTTTTAATAAATGACTTTTTTTGTGTGGATTTTTGGGACATAGGTCTCGATTCAGCATTTTTTTTTAAAATATTGAAAGATGTTAACAAATTATGAAACTTTTTGGCTGGAACCATGGTCTAGCATAATACTCACATTTAAAGTTTCAAGACAAAATGAGTCATGTCGTATTTGGAGCGAAGAAAAAAAAAAGCTACAAAAACAATGAATAGCGGCTTTTATATAGTACTCCCTTCATTCCAGAATGTAGTGCGTATTTTGGTTTATAAAAGTCGAACTTGTCTACGTTTGACTAAGTTGGAAAAATTATCAACATTCATAATACAAATTTTGTATCATTAGATTCATCCTGAAGTGTAATTTTATATTCTATTTATTTGTTATTTTAGATGTTTAGTCAAACAAAAGCATGTTTGACTTCGAAAAATCAAAATATGCACTATATTGTGGAATGGTTGGAATATTGATTTTGTTGTATTTTGCTCGGAATAGGGCATTACTCATTTTGTTCTAAAGCTTTAAACATGAGTACTATGCTAGACCATGTATGCTGCCAAAATATTTCAAATATATTTGACTATTTAAAATAACATGAGTACTAGGTGGCTAGGACAAACTCTCACCTCCAGGCTTCACCGCCGAGCCTGTGGATTCGCCTCCCATCTGCCTGATGCTCCGGCGGCCGGTGGCGGGGAGGGGAATCTCGACCCCTCCACTCGGGTTAGTAGTTTAGGTTAGGTTTCTTGTCCTCGCAGGCGCGGTGCTCGGACGGATGGCGACGCTTCTTTTTCGAGTTTTTCTTCCAGGTTTCGATTCTCTTTGAGTTCGTCCGTCTAGACGTAGTCGACGAAGCTCCGACATTGATTCCCGTCGTTTCCTTGGGACGATGAGGTTAGGATTTATCCTCGCGCGCCGAGATTTGATGTCAGGTGTTTGAGATCTATGCAAGGGTTCAACGGCAACAGCTACGGCTCTAGGATGCTTGTCCTTAAGGGCACGTGTACGAAGACTTTTCGGCTGTCATCAATAAGGGCAAGCCCGCTCCGGTAGGAAACTTGCGACAACGCCTGCTCCGGTAGGGAACTTGCGACAACGGCGCGTCGACAGCTCGTTCTGACGATAGTAGTGGTCCTTTGATGGTCTTGAAATCTTAGTGTGATTTTTGTTATGTTAAAGATGTTTTGTATTTCCGGTGAACTTTTATAATTTATCGGATCACAATGGATCACTGAGCCGTGCGGTCATGTCATCTTCCAACAGGATATTCTCTGTCTTCAAATCACAATGGATCAAAGGAGGCGTCAGTTGGTTGTGGACATAATCAAGAGCAGAAGCCACATCTGCCGCTATGCATATCCTCTGCCCAAAGTTTAGCACTCTACCAGGGATTTCACTGTGTTGCTCAGAGTGTAACCATCTGTCAAGGCTGCCATTAACCATGAACTTGAATATCAGTGCTTTGAACTCATGATTTTGTGAATCAAGTGTCGAGCATACGGTCACAGGCTGCATTATATTTCTATGGCGGGTGCTTTGTAGCACTTCACACTCAATAAAGTAACTATCACATGCGCCAGGTTCACTCAAGTTGAATACTTTGATGGCAACCAATCTCCTGTCGGACTTGAACCTACCAACATAAACTGACCCAGTACAGGTTGAGCTGATAGTATGAAGCGAAGAAAACCAGTTGGTAGCTTTAAGAATGTCTTGATATGACACCCTCTTCAGCTTCTTCTCATCGTTGCATGGAACTTTATCCACTTTCTCTTCTCTTGTGATGGGCACAAAAACAAAACATCTTGGACACAACATTCCATTGTGGAAATGAGGACACTCCTCTCTTCCGAAGGGCGGGCAAAAACCATAGCAACACTAGTAAAGCAATCGTAAGTGGTGGTAGTACAATTAGCAGCAAGGTTGACAAATGCTTTGTTGCCATCCAAAAATACTGCGGTAGAGCTTCGCCGCCGCACCGGACCAGCAAGGGAGCCGTCGAACCGGTGGTCGGGCGCGGAGCTAGGGCGGGGTTTGGGGATCATGAATGGCCAGATCCGCCCCGCCGCCGCCTTCCCGGGGTTCGGCGTGGCTTCGCCAGCCGGCCCTGTAGAAGATCCCCTAAAAAATACTAAAAATAATAATTGTAGAAGATAGAATTAACAGTTAATATGATGGTAGTATTTTGCTTGCTTTAATGATTAGGGATTTTTCGCTATTCCTCTTTTATTAAATAAAAAAGAAAAACAGGAGTAAGTCTGATATCAACGAGAATGACAACTTTACCCCTCCCTTCCTCCTCCCAAACCCTCCCCTCTGTCGGTCGGTCAGACGGTCACCGGCTCCGGCAGCCCGCTCGGCGCTGGGGGCAGAAGCCGCCGCGCGACGGAGAGCTCCCATTCCTCTCCCCGCCCCGAACCGATGGATCTTATCGACGCGAGCGCCACCCGCCATCGCCCGCCGCCGCGCGGAAGGCACGGCGGGATAGAGCCCGCCGGGGTGGCACCATGGCAGATGCGGTGTGAGGGGCGGCGTCTCGAGCCCCGGCGCGGGCAGGCATCGCACCCCCAAGCCAAGCCCAAGGGCTACATACATCCTCCACATGTTCCCCTACCCCAGGTACTGTATACATCTGTATCTGTCTGTCCACACGAATTTGTGCTCGAATTCGTCCGAGTTGACTACGGCTCTGCGTAGTGCTTGACTGAATTTCCTGAGTGCATAAATTCGTTGTGGTGTCAAAAGGTTATAAGTTTGAGAAAGGCAACCGCCGTGGGCCGTGGCTGCCATGGCCGGTGAAGGAGAATAGGTGGATTTGAGATGAAGAAGAACTGAAGAAGAAGGAGAGGTGATGCTCGCAAGTCGCAATGCCTGCCTGCCTGCCATATACTGTGTACCTAACGCCTGCAATTCAATTATCTGGTATTATCATGTGGAGAGGAATGCTGGGAAAACTTCTTTTCTGGCAAGCATCTCTCTTAAATTCACCGGATAGTTCGTGTGGAGGACGTTCGATGATGGGGATAGCCGGACCTTGACTGCAAACTGTTGTGTATCAAGAATTAATTTT